CCTAATTCAAGTGACAATTCGAGTGACTATTTGTTCCGGAAGAAAACTGTAAAACTTTCTGAAAGGAGTCCAATATGTCAGTCTAAAGTAAAGTTCACTTCTGTCTGATGACAAGGACACTGACGTCAGTTGTTGAGGATATCGTAAACCTTTCTGCTGGTAAGTGCTGCTGTTTTTGTTGCTGTTAGCTGCTGTTAGCCTGTGTTAGCTGCTGTTAGCCAGCTTTAATGAAACTTTATATAAAGTGGCTCTCGGCTAGGTCTTGGAAAAAAGGATTTAATCTCAGCGAGACTTTTAGCTGGATAAATAAAGGATAAGAACATTGTTGGACTTAAACAATAAACTCTAATACGGGGTAAAAATCTAATCAAACAGTGGGAAGGTGAATTTTAGCATAATTTAGCATGTCTAACATTAGCTGGCATAACGCTAGCTTGTAACCAGCTGTGGAGCACAGATGCAACAGGTGATTTCACAAACGGCTATATCCAGACATGGGCAATAACAATAAAGTTGAATTCTATTCTATTCTATTCTATTTTCTAAGATATTCTTACAATGTGGACATGTGCCATACTGTCTTTTTTTTTAGTACCATGCTGTTACTGAAGTCTTCTCTTTTTCCTGCATTTTGATAAAGTAACCTTTGTTTTGCTGGATATTCATAAGCTATCCTATCATTCATTTCCAGCCTGATCAGCTCACTTTTACTTATGATGACAGGGCAGCGCAGAGACATCCGCACTCAAGTATCATTGCAAACAATGATGTCACCCACCACGGTGCGTGCTCCGCAGGGATTCAGCGCAGTACTATAAATCAAGCTTTTCGACTGCAGGAGTTTGTCAAACTCAACAGAACTGGTCAGGATTATAATGCAGCTTCACAAGATTTTTCACAAGGCCGATGAGATGCAGACGGATGTTACTCTTTTCAAGCATAATTCATCATCGGCGCTGCAGTTCTCACAGAGTGGTTCATAATGTTTTATTCTTACAAAAAACAGAAAATCGATCTCCATCTGAGAAAATGTGTTGCTGTCATTCTAAATTTTTCTAAATCACTTTACAATCACAGGAGGAGATCTTGGTAAAAAAAACCCAAAAAAAAACACAGTATGGGAATCCAGATTTAGTCGGATCAAGAGCTCGACTTGTAAAGACAGTGCGAGACCATTGGACAAGTCAAGCGAAGTGAAGCATGCTGACAGAATAATCCTGTAGATCATTATCTGGTTCATCAACTATTTACATCACACTTTGATATCTTTGTGAGATTCCTCGTTGAACTAAGGAGAGGAAAAAGGCACTTGACAATAAGATGCTGCCAGTTTAGCTTTGAGGCTGGCTCCACCAAAAAAAGAAAGAAGAAAAAAAGCTAAATGTGTCCTCCCTGTAATGCAAACCAGCTCACCTGCAGTGATCCATATGCAGTGTGTGTCTGCCCCTGACCCCCCCTGCATTCAAATGCAAATCCTCTTGTTTGTCTGACTTTCCAATGATGCTCGGGGCATTTAAATTCCATTCTGTGCCGATGTAGTAAGCAGTGAGGTCCCTGTCAAGGTGAGTCACAGCAACAACAACGGCGGCAAAATAAAAGGTGACGAGCTCACCTCGCATCAAACAAAAATCTATTCAGGAAAACATGGAACACCAGTGTTGCCTCCTCTTCCCCCACTTTTCCCAGTTTGGCACCTGCTTCTCTGACGCCTCGGGGGGAGGGAGTCAGTGATCTTCGCCCCGGGTGAGACGCTGTTTCAATGCAGACAGCTCATCAAGGTGAGTGACAAGTGTTGGGGCGGGAACATGAGATTCACTTTGGTGTCTGGAGGTGAAAAGATGCATACCGAGTCTTTCAACTTGATTTTTTTTCCTGGTTAGAACTGCCAGGTTATGATCAACAAGAAGCTTTGAAGCAGTTGCTTCTGTTCGTCGACGTCAAAAGCCCATGAGTCAACAAAATAACTGCTGGAATGATGTCTTACTTTCTACTTTACACCACATCCCGCTGGATTAAAAGTCTAGCTTTTTGTGTTGGAGGCGGGGATATTTTCTTTTAACAAATTATACAAAATTGAAGCCAAACAGGAGGTTTGATGAGTGCTCCAGTCTTCACTGCAACTCAGACTTTACTTTCAAAACAAGAGTCCAAGCACACAGTGAGCTCCATCAAGTACTTGGACAGGGACACATTGTTTGCTCTCTTGGCTCCATACTCTTATTGCTTTGGATTGAAGCCAGCTTACATGCCAGTTTTACTTTGGTGGGATTCTCAGTTATACTGAAGAAACAGATTGAGTGGACGTTAAACAAAGTTTATGTCCGCGGCCCTCTGGCAGACACAAAATTTTACGAGTCGTGCATCGAAATCCAAACGAGAACAATTCATCATGTGAAATAAAGCCCTACTGAAAAGAAGAAGAATTATTAACCCAGTCTTTCTGGAACTTGTTCTGCAGTGTTTATAAACCGCCACACAGTTTTGGATTTTTACCAGCTGCAATTTCGCAATTTTGCAAGTAGAAATCAAAAGACAAACAGCAATGAGCTCAAACAAATGCTGCCTCTGTGCAGTAAGAACATGTAAAGCTTCAGTGAAACATAAAATCAAAAAAGACTGAATGGAAAAAAACAACAGCATTATTCGTCCTTTTATCAAAAGCTGAAATTTGGATTTGAAGCTGAACAAAAGTTATTTAGGTTTATACGCAACATCAAACTCTTTCCTGTTTGCTAACTTTACTGAGCTCAACTTCATATGAATGTGGTCATTTACTGGGATACGAGTTCGTAAAGGAGGCTAATGCAGCAAAGACACAAAAAGACCCACAGACATAACTGCTCATTTCATCTGAACATATCGAACACCAAAGTCTGAACTTCTTTTGTGTCCGCATCTTTCAGAATGTCACCAGACACTGGATGGTTACAGTTACAAAAACAGTAATAGAAAGAAAAGAACACAGTTTAGCTAACGGTTTCGTGCAGCGTACTGGAAATATTGTGCGATGTGCTCGAAAACTCCCACTCTGCACCCCCATGTTACACCCACACAGCTGTTTTCACTCACACTTGCCTGATTAGACTCTTTTCTCAAGACTGAGTGGGCACAAAGGAGCTCCACTTGATTGACGTCCCCCTCGAACTTCTGCTAATGTTGTTGGACCTTTTAAACCGAGACAACACACACACTTTCTCACAGCAGGTGTTTTAACATGAACACGGAGAAAGCACACGTAGTACTAAAAATACCAACAATGACTCCCGTAAGACGCAGCAGCCAGCATGAGCAACAGGAAGTTGAAATGATTTTTTTTTTTTATCATTTACACCTGAGCTCATCGTGCTGTGACAAAAGGCAACTGAGGTTGTGGTCGAATTGTCAAATATTGTCAAAACATAAAAAAGTGTTTGGCAGCCATAGCTGAGCTGGTTGAATGCAAAGGAAAAGAGCTTCAGTGCTACCTTTATTATTACCTGACTGTTTACAGGCCAAATATGAAGGTTATGCTACTTTACTAAAACTCTTCTTGTTGCTTTGCATGAAGTACTTTTTAGAAATCTTCTCTCACTTCATTTCATGGAAATTGTAACTTAGTTTACAGGGGGTTATGTTGTCATGTTGCTCGCTTCTGGGATCATAGTTAATGCCTTTTCCATGGGTAACCTGTGGTGTGTGGAAGACAATCAGTTCATCAAACTTGTCCGTACTAAGCCCAAAGGAAACGCAGTGAGCAGAGTTCATAAAGCACTGCAGCGACATGGATGGACTGGGATTCTGGAGGTCTCAGAGTGGGTCGGGTCAGAGATGTAATCTCATGTTTCTGTGTAACTTCTCTTGTGTATGTTTGACTTTTCTGAGCTGTTTTGTTTTGTGATATAAAACAAACAACAGCTCACAGCAGATGGCCCCGCCCCTCCCTGAGCCTGGTTCTGCTGAAAGTTTCTTCCTGTTAAACGGGAGTTTTTGCTTCCCACTGTCACCAAGTGCTTGCTTATAGTGGGTCAGCTGAATGTTGGGGTTTTCTCTGGATTATTGTAGGGTCTTTACTTTACAATATAAAGTGCCTCAAGGTAACTATTGTTGTGATTTGGCGCTATATACAAAAAATTTAGTCACCAATATAAAAAACAGCTAGGTTGGTTTTCATGTTTTTCACAGTAACTTTCTAACTTTTGGAATAAATAAAGTCGATCTTATTTAGTTTTACTTAAGAGATGATCAAAGACTTAATAAAGGAAAAGCAAATTGATTCTTCAGCAGGAAGAAGTTTTATTATTAATCTAATCATTTTATTGTTGTGATTGTTGTGGTATATAGTTTTAAACTCCATCTAGTAAAAAGGTTGGTTATTCACATTCATATAGCCTGCATGAAACAACGTGGTAAGAACACAGATGGCAAAATATCTAAGGAGGTATTTCCAGTATTTGATCTCTACCATAGAGGCGAACAATTCGGACAACTGCCAGCCTCCTAGAAAACACGCCTATAGTATCAAATCAAAATCTACGTTGCTTTGTTCTCAAGTTATCGCATTCACAAGATTTTCAGAAAGAAAAATCAGGTCCCGTGACTGAAACTGAAGCAGCTAAATGGAACTGAGTCATAATCATTAGTATTTGTACGTGTGCTCAAACTACTGTTAAGTAAGATCTTTTTCACTTTAGTGACATCGCATATTTCTCAGCATTAGTCTGTACATTTTCACCACTATAAAGCTCAGCATGAATAAGTGAAAACAACTATGAGGGTGCAAGTCGAGACTAAAACAAGTATTATCAAACGCTCACAGCACATTCACATCAAGCTCTCCAGTGTAACATCAAAGTCATTCAATTAATCATGGAGTCAAAGCGCCCGTTGCTGCTCACTGTACACTCATCCCTGAGGTATGTAAAAAAAAAAAACCCTCTAAAATCTTTACATCATCTCATTTTTATTCATTCTCTTCAACACTTTTCTTTTTGGAAAAGAATTAAATATTTAAATATGCTTCTCAAAAATACATTAAAAGTGCATCCCCGAAGTATTTTTTGCAACAGAGTTCACAAACATCTATTCACATAATGTGAACAGAATTAACTTAGAGAGTGAAGGTGAGTACACTGTAGCGTGGATCAGGCTGAAAGTCCCACACAGTATAAGACCAAGTCTGATCCTTTAGGGGGGATTTTCAGTCTTTGGCTTCCTAAGACTTACTTGAGCTGGGGCTTTGTTCCATGGTGATGAAGAAGAGACAGACTCCTGCAGTCAGCAGGAGATGCATGGATTCGTACAGTAATTTGGGTGAAAAGACACTCCATATGAAGAGATGATAGCGCAGAACAGTTACCAGCACTATGTAGGCTGCGGCTGGCACAGACCTCAGCAGGGCCAAACAGTAGCAACCATGGCCGACTGCAACCGGGCTCCTGTGGAGAGGAAAAGGATTCATCAGAGAGGAAGATGCACTGCAGAGAGCAAAGCAGGCGACTGTACTGTGGATAATAGTCAAAACTTCCTGTGTAGAAAAGTTTTGATGTAAGCCAAGGTCATCTGAAGCTGCTTCATGTTTGTCGTGATGAAGTTGACTCGCTAAAAATGCAGATTGCTCAGTGATTCATAGCAGAGGCCACAATTTCGCATTTTTTCCTTTACACATGTACCCAGGAGAAGACTCTGATCCAATTATCTTGGCACAGTAATGCGGATTGCTGGCAAATTCTGATAAAGAAGTTAATGACTCTAAAACCTGCAAGATGGGATGGCGCGAGGAGATTAGGAGACGATGATGATGATGTAAAGCCAAACACGCACAGATATACAAAAGACTCGGTCTGTAATACACTGAAACACATGCGCCGGTTTGCTAAGGGATCTTCTTCATTACAGCAGGCAGAGTCCCAGCTGAAGGGGAGGAACTTTAAGTCTTTTCACAAGACAGGAAGGCAAACCAAAGGAGTAGGTGACATGCTAGGTAGACCGGTTAGCAGATGGATAGATAGAAACACACGAGTGGATCAAAGACTGACCAATACTGATAATCACGTTTTACGACTCAGTGGATAACAGAGAAAATAAAAGGCTTGTGTGTATCATTGTTACTGCGCTTTCCTCAGTTGTAGAGGCAGAAATCATTTGAATAAACATTATTAAAATCTCCAAAAGCCACATCATGTTACTTAGTGGAAGCTAACATTTTCAGAAACTCAGTCTTTGTTTTGTAGAGTCTGAAGACGAAGTTCTTGGTGGAGGTGGAAGTGGTGGAGGTTGAAGAAAGCATACGTATGCATGCATGCATACGTACGTGTACATGTACATAACATTATGTAATTTAATTTTTTTAAATTTTCTATTTTATCTATTTCATTACACGGGCATTTTGTCGTACCACGGGGAAGAAATATTGCCGTTAAGTGCCTTTGTAAGTTGAATTTTTCGTTAAATGGGGTCTTCGTAAGCCGGGGTTCCACTGTATTCTAGAGTCAAATGCGAGGCCATCTGTCTGACAGCTAAAGCTTGGCCCACAGTGGGTCATGCAACAGGACAATGACTCCAAGCACAGCAGCAAATCTACACCAGAATGGCTGAACAAGAAAAGAATCAAGGAGCTGCAAAGGTCCAGTCAAAGTTCGGACATCGACCTGATGAAACGCTGTGGTGAGAACTTAAGAGAGCTGTGTATAAATGTATGGCTGTAAAGAAGAGCGGCACAAAATCCCTCCACAGTGATGTCAGAGGCTGATAAAGTCATACAGGAACCAATTACTTTAAGTTACTGCTGCGAAAGGTGGTTCTACAAGCTACTGAATCATGGGGTGTAGTTAGTTTTCACATGTCTGCACAGGACATTTCTTTTTCCCATGATCGTTGAGTATTTGATGACACTGTAAAGATGGAAGTACCTGAATTTAGACATATTAACTATCACACTTTACTGCTGCAAAGTGTCGCTGCTGTGACCTCCTCTTGACTTGAGTTGATTACTTTTAATTGGAAACACTAGGTTTGTAACAAGATTAAAATATCCTTGGTGTCATGTAATTATTGCATAAAAAAGGTGCAGAAAACTTCATCGCTGTAGTGAACTGCAAAGAAGCTACAGGCATGTTAGCCAAGCATTCTAGTGGGAATACACGCACAGTTTACCTGAGTGTTTGCTTGCATTACATTTAGCGTTGGTGTAAACAGCATGTGTATCAATATAGCCCGAGTGACTGTAGCTTCAGTAGCCTGCATTATGCATGATATGCTAATTAGCCATGTGCTCTTGCTTCTTATGCTTTTAGCTACACCAGCCTGATAAAAGCTTTACACACAAAGCTTGTGATGGACTGATGACTGGTGAAACCCTGTGTGTACAGACACATTTCAAACATCTCCAAAGTGACATAAACCACTTCTTTGGAAGTGAAAACAGCTACCACGACACTTGAAAACACCCATTATTGTCATTCAATCCAAACTGCTGGCATGCTAGATAGACTACAGTACGCACAGCCTGTCAACACTGAACTAAAAACTACCCCTGGAAGCTCTAATGGATATTTCCAGGCACTATAGATAATAATATGAACATATTCCTGCTTTTTAACATCACAGTAAGAGGTTGAGATGATATATTTAAATATGTCTGGTTGCTTTTGCTGCCCTAATGGACTCGTTTTTAAAACTATGACTGACAAATTGGTGCATGTCATGTCACGTCACAGTAAAGTAGAAATATAAAGCTGCATAAAAAAAAATGGGGAAATAGAAAACTGAACGCCACCATTCTCTGTTTGTGTTTGCTGTTACGCCTACTTCCACAGAGTTGCTCATATCAAAACATCTTGGGGTCTATTTCTGTGTGCTGCCTCATAGGCGACCTCTAAGGTGGGTCACGAGAATGCACAGACAGTCTGCGAAACCTGTGAACAATACCTATAAAAACTGATAGTTTACAAAATCGCTAAGGGTGTAACTAAGGCTCATTGTACTAATGCTGTGAGAAACTAACTGTAACTGTTACCCAAGTTAACATGTTTATCTGCTTCACTCTTGGTGGGTGCGTTGCTGAGGACCAGAGTAAATCAGTGCCAAGTTTGAGGATTTTTTTGGTAAATGGTTCTCATGTTTTGGCTAAAAGCTGCTCTCTGAGCAAAGCTGTGACCGTAGCCTGCTCCACTCTGTGTGCAAGGAAAGGGCCACAAATATATTTACAAGCATGTCTGTTTGGCTCTGTGTGTTAAACTCTAACCTAATTCTAACTTTACCCCTAATATCAGACCTAACCTTCAAAAAACACCTTCCTAACACTTCACTTTACAGTTTGTCTCGTTTTTAACTACAATCTATTTCAGTAAATCATTTCACCTTAAAGCTCACGAGCATGCAGATGCTGAGAGACTGACACTTGTCACTCTTGCAAAGTGTCTTAGAAATAAATCAGCATGAATGTGCCTTATGCTGAATGAATGAAATCTCACAGATTACAAAACCTACAGTGGATTAAGACAAAGAAAAACACACTGTGTGTAAATAATGATTTAGTTTGATGTCATTACTCAGCAGATGAGGACTTCCAGTACAAGCCTCGTGTTCCAGCTGCTGACGCTGCAGAGTGAATTTTAAACTAACTGAGATTATTTTAGCGCCATTAGTCAGAGTACCTCTGAGCACCTATTAGAGGTAAGTCTTTTGTGGATGAGTGATGACAAGCAGGAAAGTTTTTTGCACTGGAATGCAGTGTGTGATGTTTACCATCAGCTGGGCGGTGTTAACCCCCTCCAGAGGCTGCAGCGTTCATTACAGCCTACATATGAAATTGATGGGTTTCCCACTTGGCTATTCAGAGGATAAAACCACAGTGAACATGGCGAGGCTGCCAGGCACCAAATCCCATAACTGGCTGCAATTACGCCGTCGATCTAAATGGAATTTACCGCCTGCTTTCATTGCTCCAGTTTAGGTTCAAGTTTACAACCGATCAATGCAGGTGCTGCGTTTGAACGGGCTTTCTCAGAAGCAACGTTTTCAGGAGCTATTTTCAACTTACTGTAAATGCAATAATTACAACTAGACATCTCAGGTATCATGCTTTTATTGGATCACGTAAAGTAATTTTCCTTTGCTGCTGTGCGTGTGTTTGTGTGATACTCGACTGCAGGATAAAATTAGTTTATGTTGATATTTCCGACCTATTTAGAGCACTTAGGGTGAGATTCCCGTGGATGTCTGACCAGATGTTCTCCAAAAACACTGTGATGGACACTACGTGGCTTTTTTGATGACACATCAGTACTAAACGAAAGGTCGAGACAAAACCGACCACAGTGCTGGACTACTGGATCACATTTTTCATTTTTATACCCCGCTGAAAGCAGCAAAAAGAAAAAAAAAAAACAATTCAGAAGGATGGAACTTTTTAATCAAAGACCGTCTCAACTACTGAAATGTTAAACACAGCTTATTCAAATGTGGGATCAAGGACTATTAAGAATATAAATCATGTATGGGTATTTTCACCCTCTACAGTCTAATTTCTATGCATTCTTTTTGCCAACAAAATTCACACATTTTATTACATAAAGTAAGATTTCTTTATATCTCAAGGCAGCAGACTTGCATATATATCTCCGCTTTTTAGTTGCTGGCATTATAACATAGGAGGCAGGCTAAAATGACTCCTTTTACACAAACAGTATCTTTTGTCTGCATTAAAATAGCATTTTAGTTTTGGCTCTATCAGCAGGGCAGCTGCTGCCCAGCCACAGACCTCATCACTCAGCGCTGTGCAGAGGCCTCACGCTGAGAGGAAGCGCTAGTTATTGGCTGCTTTCACACACATACAGCAGCCCAGCTACTGGCCCCTCTCCAGTGGAGGTCTACCGCAGGTTAAGCTGTTTACATGCATCTTTGATACCCTCCAAGGAATGATCCTCGTTGCCACGAGTAAACTAATTAACATAGCATTTCTGCGCGCCAGCACTGTCCCACCCACAGGCTGAAAAAGTATGAAACAAACAAACAACAGTCAAAAGTAACTGTAATAGCGATGCTGGTGTGTGGCGGTGCTGGCACAGAGGGCACAAAAGACAGTGAGAGAGAGGAGTGTGTTTGAATTTGGTTATAACGCAGAGCGGCTGCGCCCAAAGCTTTGGCTGACATACCACGTTTCGAAGAGCACAAGTGCCTCTCCATCAGTGACACCTACCAATGTTCCAAATGTTTTCTCATGAATGGATTACAAACTGGGCGTCGTTTCAAACGTTCAGTTATATAAAAAGTGATTACAACAATGTTTTTATGCAACCCAGCTGACAGTGGAAACTTCGATCATGTAGGACTTACGTATAGAATTGCTGTGCATGACTTTGGATTATGGAATCGAAACGACTACCAGCTCGTCACAGACGCTGGATGCTTCAACCATTTATCCTTTTCTTTTAGCTATTCAGGTTACGGTCATGCCACCAGGAGCACATACAAGATCGAGCAATCCTTGAAGCCAAGAAGGGGGGAGCCTGGTTATGCTGGTGGTTTCTTCCTGTTTAAAGGGAGTTTTTCTTTCCCACTGTTGCCAAGTGACTGCTTACAGGGGGACTGTTGGGGTTTTCACTCTAATATTTATGGTCTGTACTGTGACTGTTAGGGCTGTGCAATATAACCAAAATCTCATATCCCGATATGAGACATTTATCGTCCCGACAACGATATGTATCAAAAAAATGTTACATTTTCTGTAAATTCTGTGAATCTCGGGCAACTCGACTTGGTTAAAGTGTTTTCAGCTGGGCGTGGTGTACCTGGAGTCGAGTGTTACATATGTTGAAACGGCTGCAGTTTTCTTTGAGTATTTATTACACAGCGTGCTGCAGGGAAACGCCTGTTCTAAGGTTTATTTTTTAGCACCTGACGGCTCTTTTTAGCTTCTCGTCCATAAACACTCTGCATACTATTTCACTTGATTCAGTTTATTTTGAAAAATCTCAATATGATCTTCAACTTTATTGTGAAAAGTTTATGTGGAAAATAAACAACTGGACAGCGGAGCCACGCGATGGTTTTACCGTCGTTGTTGCTAACGACAACGCTTAAAAACAACCGCTTGTCCGTCCGTAGTGTGGTTATATTAAATATAAGAGAAAGAGAGAAAGAAATTCTACAGTGACCATCAGAATGATGAAAAAATATTGCTGTAAACAGTTTATTTTGCGACACCACGAAACAAACGATGGCGTATGAAACGATAGATGTTTTCATATCATCATCCGATATATCTCGTTATATCAAACAGCCCTAGTGACTGTTGCTGGAAATTGGTGACACATAAATAACACTTGTTTTCTAAGCTTGAGACAAATAGTTCACACCAGGAAGGTTCCTGCAGTTCACTTCACTTTCATTTTATACACAAATCAATTAAAATGCAGTTACAATCATAATTACGCATAAAACAGTGATTTGTAAAATCCCCAAAAGCCATCCTGAGCTTGTAAACAGGGGTCGAGACATCACGATAAATATCATTTTTAATTCTGTATCCTAATACTAACATAAATCTTTAAAAGCACCTTGAAACTCCTAAAGTACAGTATAGAGATCCTAAAACAATACATCCAGACAGAGACACATGGGGAATAACAGTATAAATCCACTGGTGGGTGAATTTTAAATGGAAAGCTATGGAGAATATTTAAAAACCCTGAATGATGCGGGGTTTTAGGAGTGAACATTTTTTAGTAGCAGCTGTCTTAAGCTCTGAGCGAGATGCTGATTTTTGTAGTGCTCTCTAGCTCGTTCCAAACCTGCATACCTCCAGTCACACTAAAAGTTTGCAATTTTTTTTCTCTTTTGTGTGTTTACATAGCCAACCATTTACACACAGACATTCACAACTATGAAGAATTTTGAATTACCAGTTAATCCCCACTAACCACATCCCCTTAGACTGTGAAGCCAGAGTTCCTGGAGGCAATGATGCTAATCACCGTGCTAATCCAAAAACTAGTGAATAGTGGGTTTTAAATTGAAACTTACCGGACTCTCTCCGAGCTAAGGTAGCAGACGAGGTGACACGCCCAGAGCAGCGGGCCTGCATAAGTGCTGAGCGCTGTTAAGAAGATGGCAGGTGCTTCTATGTAGCTTTCCAGTCCAACGAATCCAACTGAAATGTCGACAGTGGCTATGTTGTTGGAATTCCCCTGCAGGTGCACAAAGAAATCTTCTTCAAATAATTTACATTATATACAGACAAAAAAAAGTAAACAAAGAACTGTGGATGTGCTTCAGAGCTCTAAAGAACTGGTGCTTTGCTTTATCATCATTACTGTGAGTTTCTGCCCACTTCCCAGCAGCCCAGTTGTTTGTTTTCCAGTCTCTGGCCAGAGCAGCGCACACAGCTCTCGGTCTGGAGCTGGACTTAGTAGCACTCAGACTACTGTATGCACCAGCAAACACATTTTATTTCTTTATTTGACAAAAAAGAAAGAAAAACAAAACACAGATTTCTGCCTTATTTAACTTTGCACCCAATTTTGAGCTTCTCTGGAACAAGATAAATATGTCTGCAGTAAACTGAAAATATAAAACTTTTGTTGTACTTTCTTTTCATCTCAGCCTTTAGAAGATATCATCACTGCAATGCAATCAGGATTTATAGCCCCAATCTTCTGGAAGTGCAAAATATAGTTACAAGGACAAAAAGACTTTGTTCAAATGAAAAAATATATATTTATTTATTACAAAAAAAGGGACACAACAAAAGTAATTGCTGTTCAAACTTATTAAGGTTTATAAAATCCCCCCAACACCACAGCATTCACACTTTTCCTGTAACTCAAGCCACTGACCTGCCCCTCTGTGCACAACAAGTGATAATAACATTTTAAACGGACGCTGTTTGTTATGGCAGGTAAAGAAAATGAAGCCCAGATATCAACAGTGTCTCTCCTCTTAAAAGCAAATGTGATGACGGTCCGCAGACAACAACAAGCATCAAGTCAGCATTTGCCTCCCTCCTGTAAGCACATCTCCGATCACAGAGGAGGAAAACACTAACAGCTGGCTCCATTTTAAACAAACAGCAGACACCAGTGAGCAGGTTGGAGACTGCATATGGATATTTTCTGCTTGCTGGAATCCTGCTGCGATCTTTCAAATGTCATTTGGCACCATCAACAAATGTCTCACTTAAGAAAAAAAAACAAAAAGAACTGCAAGACGTGTTTTTTTATAGACAAGATTGATTCTCACAAGACAGTGTCGGAGAGTGTGGCTGGACTAATGCGGTTCCTTAATGGAGTCGATATCGAGGAGGAGCAGGCGGCACACTTTCACCCTTTCAAATTAAAAATGCTTACAGTGCGTGGTGAGTAGCAAGGTTTCGATCACCTGAATAAAAAATATGCGCTCTAAGTTGCTCTGTGTATTCAAGCCCACCTTTTAGTTCTGCTCTCTGATGAATCATGTTTTCCACAGAAGCAGAACTTGTCACTGCTCATGCGGCAACATTTGCACAAACTGGCTCATATCTGAAGAGTAAACACCGTCCTTGCTGCCTTGCTGACCATCTGGTTTTGGGGGACGGCGATAAATCCAGAGAAAAATCCGTCACTCCCAACGATCGAGACAGACGATATCACTTTATTTATTTATTGTAATGCTAGTGATGTCTGCCGCTGATGTTACCTGGAATACTTCCCATAATCCTCTTGTGTTTTCTAGCATTTGAATGCCAAAAGAGATGGACTTTAGAAACAAAAGCTTTCTGCCAAAAATCATAACAAATCTTTGGAAAACACAACAAAGCAACTCTGTTTCTAGACCGTTAATGTGTTACAGTTCAGACTCGGTGCACCGATCCTCTGTACTCACGGATTAGATTTTAATTGGACATAATTTTGGTTATTCTTCACATCAGCGAGCTTAACTTTTATACTGTACGTCGCTGCTTACACTTCCATTATGGTTACAGCTGCGCCGAGAACGTTTTTGCTCAAATGCCTGTAATTACATGCCTCGATGCTTAGATGGGAAAATTGTCTGGTGGCGGTCTATTCCCGAGCCCATCACAGCATTAATGACCCGAGGGGTGATGAGGGTGATTAAATTGTTAACCACGTGGAGGTTTGCTGTTGACAACAATGCACAGTCGCTAATCAAATATCTGCGGTAGGTGGAAGTCGAATCAAAAGGTAGGTTTTCCTCTCCAGCCTTTGAGGAAGAGGCATCGTACATCCTCGGGAAGCGGCCGGTCCGGTTGGCCTTCATGGTAGAGCTGGATGAAAGTAATATGATTTATACACAAACACTTCCTCTGCCCAGAACAGCACCTATTACAGTATCTAGCACTTTATCAGTGGCGATAGCTTCCGTAAATGTTGCTACACTCTGTGACAGGGCGTTAAATTAGATGTCTTTTACAATCAAGACACTTGCTGACTGTTTTGTTCTTCACTGTGCTTCCTTTTGTATTTCTGGGAGGTGTGATTTTCGCACAGCGTCACACACGCATTCACTACTCAGCACAACAGTCAAAGTTAATTTGGAAAGGTGGGTAAGGTTTCTCAAGAAAACGTGTTTGGTGATACGCTTAAAGGAGACCTATTATGCTTTGTCTTATTTTCTTTTGTATATATAGCGCTCACATTAAACATGACCACAAATTTAGAGGAGGTCAAGCAATCCTTCGATCCAAGATCTCAGGCTTGAGATTGCTCAAGTGCTCTCTTCGTGATCTTAAGTGGGTTAAAAATGCTTGAGCTAACAAACTTGCAGACTAGCATTATGGACACTGTAGGCCCATATGTGGCAAACTCTGGGGGTAAAAAACAAACAAAGCCAACACAGAGGTACCAAATACTTCTAGTGGACACTTTATGTTGGCTCTAAAAGCAAGTCAATCCCAAAAAAACTCCCATTTTAAAAACCTTAGGTAGAACAATGAATGAGATGGTGCAGTAGAACAATTTGGATCTGGCAGGATTTGTGATCCCTGAATAGACTGGGATCCAGAGGAAACAGGCACATATTGTTCTGCTGGGAGAGACTTTTGGGGCGACGTGCTTGGTTTGTAACAATGTTTAGGCACAAAGTAATCGCATTAATCCAAGAATCCATGTTTTTCCAACAGAGCTTTTCTTTTTTGTCGTTCGGCTGCTCCCTTTAGGGGTCTGCACAGCTGATCATCTACCTCCATTTCACCCTCTCCATAGCATCCACCTCTGTCACATCGACCCTCTGTATGTTCTTCTTCTGCAGGTCTTCCTCTTTCCCTCCTGCCTGGCAGCTCCATCTACAACATCCTTTATCCAGTATATCCACCGTCCCTTCACTGCACACGTCCAATCTGTCTCAGCCTTGCCTCTCTTTACTTTGTCTCCAAACCGCCCCCTTGGTACTAATTTCTAATCCTGACCATCTCAGTCATTCCCAAAGTCCTCACACCTCCACCTCCTGTATTTTTGTCAGTGCCACCATCTCCAAACAATACATCACAGCAGGTCTCACTACCGTCTTGTAAACCTTTCCTTTCACTTGTCACTCTGCTTTAGTCACAAATCACCTCTGACACCCAATTCTTCGGCACACCTCTTGTGTCTGTTGCATTAAGCGATTGACCCCGGTATTTAAATTCCCCCACCTTTACTACCTCTGCTCCTTCATTGCTTCACTGTTACACGTTTCAAAGAAGAAAACCAACAAAACAAAATAAAGAGTTGAATGTTTGAGGAGTTCAAATTCATGCAGATTCTACAAGACTGAATGCAAATTATACTTGTGCAGTATAATTTGATTTAAAAAGAATAAACTTTAACCAGCTTACCTGAAAGTAAAAGAAGGCCTGACCAAACCAGTAGTGCATGATGGTAGTCTGGGCGGCATCATAGTGGAGTTTCTTCCAGATAAACTGAGCCATGAGCGTCTGGATCAGCAGGCAGCAGCAGAGGACTGGCAGGTTGTGAGCACGGAAGAGCAGCGAAACCAACAAAACCAAGCCACTGTAAATCTCCCATAATCCCCTGCTCTTCAGTTTGGTATCTGCTGTGATGATCTGGGATCGCAACAGGTCCTTGGTGCCTGAGAAGAGGATCCCCAAAATGAAGACGTAAACAAAGCGAGCTTCCACCGTGCCCCTAAAAAACAGAAAGATCAAACACTGAGTCATTTGTTGCATGTGCAGGAAGCCTGAACTGAGTTTCGGTTAAACTTCTCATTCATCATTCAAGTAACTGTGGCGAGTGACTCTGGGATGTGTAACTATCCAAGTGTTTAGCAGTTAAAGATCAGGGGTTTGGGGGCAAGAGGAAAGGGAATGACTTAGATCTTATGTTGCAATAGGGTTTTTTTTTAAGTTCACCACTTTAATTAATTTCATATTCCTGTCTCTTGTTACACAGGATTCCTCACATTTCTGTGACTCATAACCCTCCCTTCATTCAGTATGCAGTATGTCAATGTAACATTAATTATTAAAGCTATGAGACTTGAAGACAGAACGAATCGCCGCAGGAAAACAGACTTCCTCGCCATCACGGTGTCTGTCGGGGTTCCCGCATCGCTATAATTTGATGCTATTAACATACTTTGAGTACATTTTAAGGTCATGTGACATTTAATCTAAATTGTCCTTGTTCGGTGGAGCACTGCTGCGTGTAAGAAGCAAGCATACTGATGTTGCTGTTAAACACACTACTCCTGAAATTGGCTTGGTTATTTCACGACAGCTGATTTGTAATGGTAAAACATTTCTCAGGAATAATTTTCATCTTTCTTTTGCCAGTAATGACAAGGAAAAGTCCAAACTCAGAGATGAACTATACGGGTTGCCACAGTTACAAAACTCCTACTACTGTATATCAGGTTGACTTTTTCCCTGGGTCCTCACTGTTATCATCAGATGATATGTACTTCTGCTTTAAACACACAGATATGTAGCACACAGTGGTGGTTACACAGGTACGTCCATATGTCTCTTATTTAAAATCTAATAATGGTGCGATGGTGGTGTGAAGGGCAGACTTTGAACTTTAATCATGGGGTTTAAGGAAAGTATTTCATTAACCGTTTTGGAAAATAGAGCCATTTTTATGCACAGTAACTCATTTTCAGAGGCTTAAAAGTATTTGAAGTTTTGACTGACAAGCATTTAATGAAGGGAATGTGTGAGGTGAGGCCTGCTCCCTTCATCTTTCATGACAAATTAAGTAGATAAAAGATCTGGAGTTGATTCCAAGTGTTGAACTTCCATTTGGTAGCTGCAACATTCAATATTATATAATGAAATAAATATGTCAATGCACCAAATAAACTTTATGAGACTTTATGCCATGTCCTTAAAAAGAATGAATGCATTTGTCAGCTCACCAAAAGATTGAGTGCAGATTCTTTCCTTGGTTAAGAAAAACCATTCAGAATATCACAAAATCTAGCCAAAAACACACCAGAGAAGGTAGATGCATCACTGTCAAAGTTTGCAACTAAGATGCCTTCACAAAAAAGTGCAAACCACTGGTTACACTCAGGCGATCGTGGCTCAA